GCAGCAGCAGCAGCAGCAGCAGCTGCAGCAGCAGCATCACCAGAACCAGCAACTCCAACAGCAGCACCAGAATCAGCAGCAGGCCCAGAATCAGCAGCAGCAGAACCAGGTATTTTATTTCTATCGAGCTTCACCTTTTACTGCTGTTCATACACCGCTCCAGCTCCTCTGGCCTAGAAGCTGCAGGGCTTATGGTGGATTGATTGTCCATGATACTGGGTTAAACTACTGTATCTATAGATTAAGATTAAGATTCCTCTTTATGGTCCCACACACAGCAACATGCAAACATGGGGAAATTTGACCTCATCCGTGTGAACGGAGCACACACGGAACACACGCAACACACGCAACACAATCCACACAGTGACCACACGGAACAGTGGGCAGCCATGAAGGCGCCCGGGGAGCAATTGGGGGGTTCGGTGCCTTGCTCAAGGGCACCTCGGCAGTGCCCAGGAGGTGAGCTAGTACCTCTCCAACTTCCGTCCATGCTGGACTTGAACCGACTTGAAGCCAAGCCCCTATGGACTGTGCTACTGCCTCGCCAGAAAGTGCCTGAAAGCCGTATTCTCTGGAATGACCAGACTCTACTGTTCTCTGTAGAATTCTATGATCAAACGACTGTGTCTCAACTGAATTATAACATCAGTGAACATTTTCACCCATCATCCTTCACCCCCGTGTTTGCTTCCTGTGAAGATGCACCAGACGAGGATTCAGCAGCAGCAGATGGTGCAGCTACAGCTCCAGCAACAACATGCTCAAGCTCAAGCTCAAGCTCAGGCTCAGGCTCAAGCTCAAGCTCAAGCTCAGGCTCAAGCTCAAGCTCAGGCCCAGGCTCAGGCCCAGTCCATTCAGCAAATGGTTCATCAGCAGCAGCCTCAGCCAGGTCAGATAGCTCCGCACTCGCAGCAGCCTGGCATGGTGCCTCAGTCTCTGCCCGGACAGATGACATCTGCTCAGCACGTTCCCATCAACTCGCTGAGTCAGCAACAGCAGCAGCACCAGCTCAAGATCCAGGCCTTCCAGGTGAGGTTGATTATGTGGTCTGTACGTCGGTGCAGCTAAATACACTAACTCTGCTTTGCTTTGAGATCAGTCATTTATACCATCATCGAATCTTCTCACTGTTAATCCCAAACCAAACACTGTCCTCACCTCATGGCAGCACCTTGAATAATGTGCATGAGAATCACATAACTGGTGGCAAGGGCCAACCCCTGCTGAGTCCAACACTCATGGGGGACATGTTTGGTACGGTGCCAAATTAAACCCTTATTTCACTGAAATGAGTTACACACAGATTTCAGGTCAGTGCTTGATGAAAGTAGAAGAATCAGTGTTTCCCTCACTCATAACTGTCTTCAGACATAATGCAGTGTTGCTCATGCATCTCTATGCTTTGGTGCGTGTGTGTCAAAGCAGGCTCGTGCAGCCTTGCAGCAGCAGCAGCAGGTCCAGCATGCGCAGCAGGCAGCGCAGCAAGCCCAGCAGGCCGCAGCTCAGGCACAACTCAACGCAGCCGCCGCTGCGGCCGCCGCTGCCACCGGTGGCGGACCCGGACAGGTGAGCTGCCCACACACTTTGGTGCTTTACGTGTTTCTGTTCGATACAAACACCAGAACATTTGTTTGGTCTGCATTTGTCTGAATGTCTTTAAAACATTTGGCAGACGAGCAGTAGTGTTGACCGGTCACGTCATCCCCCTTTGAAAGCAGCAGATAGACTGTTTCACAAATGTGAACAGATAGAGACAATAAGTTTCAGACATTCTAAAGTTTGAGCAGGAAATTATTCACATGTTAAAACACAACGTCTGAAAACAAAGACTTCTGCACAGATGTTTGATGAACGATGGCTGAACGTCGCATTACACAGAGGGTTAGGAACAAACACATGAAGCTTGGTTCAGACATCAGTCAGCTGACGTCATGTCAGGATCGTTATTGTTCTTCTGAGAATGTAGAAGTTCATCTCCTCCTGACACCAGACAGCGAGAACATGAGAGGTTTTAGAGACGGCTCATCCCCCAACATCTGTATCTACTCACCAGCCGTGTTCTCTGCTGTGTCTCTTCTCCTCAAGTTGGTTCGTCCTGGGATTCCAATTCCAAACCGTTTACCCCGAGCCGCCCTCAACCCCTCCATCCCTTCTCCGAATGCTGCCGCCGCAACTGTCGCTGCAGCTGGAGGACAGCAGATGACACAGGTAGACGTCACTGACTGTATATAAAGACCATCACTGACTGTATATAAAGATGATCACTGACTGTATATAAAGA